CTGGATCTGAGGGCTTATCCACATCCCCATTAACACAGGGCCTGCAGCCGACCAAGGTGTGAGGTTCGGTGGGGGGCTGAAGGAGCAGGTTGCTGAAGGTGGGGGCCAGTCGGAAGCAGCGCTTGGTTTGGAACATCTGGGTGGACATGGCTTGTAGATTGCTGGCAATGCTGGCTTCACTGGGACCCAAGGGGCCATTGAGGGTCTCAGGAGCCTCTGACCTGGCCCGGGGAGGCTCCAAGGTTGGGGAACGTGCTCCCTCCTCATCCTCTATATCTTCCAGGTCTGATCGGGACTCCTGGCTGTTCATTTCTGAGTCTGTCTCAGCATCAAATGCTGTTCCTCCACCTTCAAGACTCTTATCCGAGCCACTGTCTGAGCCCTCACTGGCCTGGGCTGAATCATGACTTGAGTCAGATTCAAAGCCTTCACTCAGGTCACTGTCATCACCAGCTTTGGGTGGGTGGCGGCGGCGGCGGAGGCAAGAAAGACGGGAGGTCTTCCGGCTCTTTCTGACCTCGTCCACTTGGGGTGCTGCAGGAGGTGGCTCAGGATCTGGCTCCTCCTCTTTCTCCAATGGTTCCTTGGAGTCTGGCTCATCTATGGAAGAAAAAAGTCAGGTGAAGCCTAAGGGGAAAGTGGAGCCTAGAAACTTCTCCTTCATACCACCTCCACTCCATCACCTCTTGAGTCCCACGTTCCCCTCCCCTGGTCCCCATGTCCGTACGTACCTGTACCATCACTCTGGAACGCTGGCACAGGATTTTCACCCTCTTCCAGCTCTGCCTGCAGCCGTATGTTAACGTGATTGACAAGATGGGAGAACAGGGCCAGGGTGAAGGCAATGGCTGCGCTGTACTGCTTGGATCCTAAAGCCAGGAAGATCAGGCATTAGGGACCCAGCACCCTGATGAGGAGCAATTGTTGATGTGTACACAGGGTCAGAGTGGACTCACAGCTGACCCTCCAGAGCTGTAAACTGCACGAGTGGAGACTGCCCATCCTTCTTTCTCAGAGCAGTGGTGGATCTGAACCTTATGGCTTTGAGATGGCAGCAGAACTCCTAACCATTAGGCCACCAGAACTTCCTCTGATGAGGAGTAAACATCATCAATTCCTCATTTAACTACTTCTCAAAGCCACTAAGGTCAAAAAGATTTTCCAGGTCTCTCTACGATTATCCCTCCTCTGATCTAGAATGTACCAGGTCACATATTCTCCCTCATATACTTCCTTTTGCCCTACCTCATCTGTGTTGGCTTTAAAGTCTTCACCCCAGCTCCTTCTCATGCCCCAAGCACCCTCAAAGGGAGCTCCTCCCTACTTGACTCTCAAACTTGCTCTCCACACTGCCAGAAAGGGTTCCAAAACCATCCCAGTAAGATCTGAGTTAGTCTCAATGATCAGCTAAGTCCCACTGGGGGACATGAAAGTGGAAGAGTGGAAAACGAGAGGCAAACTCCTCCTGTACCAGATCTGATTTGATGGTACACACACAAAATAATAATAAAAAATTTAGAAGCTCCTTTAGGGCAGAGCTCCTTGCTCCTTACCCCTCCACAAGTCAAAGAGAAACACAAGTGATGAAGAGACTACTTGTGGAAAGAACACTGTGAATAAAGAACTGCAGGAACTCACAATAAGGCTCCCAGAAATCTGTGGAGGAAAGAGAGGCAGACTGGGGTACCTGCTCTCTTCAAGCTGTGCACGCCCATAAGGCAGATGATGACCATTTGAAAGATGAGCAGGTCCGGGAGAAAAGCGTAACCATTCTCGTACTCCTCCTCCTCCTCACTGGCCAGGCTGAGGTTGGGTGAGGAGGGCAGGTAGAAGAGACAGAGGTTAAAGTCCTCCAGGACTGACTGGCAAAGTGACGTCAGCTCTGAGTCCACTGAGCTGCAGAAGGGTTACAATAACAAAGGAGATCAATGGCAGGGCCAAGGAAGGCAAAAGTTGGGAATACCCATTTCAGAGAACACAAAGGGATCCTGAGGGGAGACTTGAGAGAGAACAGCAGGAATAATGTACTGTTTGCAAAACTGACAAAAGGGAATGGGAAGGACACACTCTTACAGAAAGATTTCTCACAGCTACATATTCATTCAACAACCAAAAGTGCCCATATTGTGCCAAAGACTGAGTTTCCTCAAGACAGAGAATAAGCACAGAACCACTGGGGAAAACGAGGGTTGTCAAGGAGAGATTAACTAGGTTGAGAAGTTCCAACTACAGACAGAATTCAACAGTCCACTCTTTCCCTTTCAAACTTCTCTCTGTAAAGGAGCATTCTAGATGAGGCTCAGGACAGTTCTTGCTCATCTTTTCTACTGACCTGCTCTTGGGCTGCAGGAGACTTTGTAGATACATGAAATTCACCAGCAACCTCTTAATGTCTTTACATCTGAAATGAGAGGAGCCTAGGGTAAATGCTCAAAGACTCCTGAGTCCCTGTGGTCCAACTGCAGACAAATTCTTGCCCACTCCTTCTGCCAAGATTCACTCACCGTTTCTTGCTGGGAGAGAGTTTCCGAGTCTCACACTTCTTCAGCTGGTGATACATTTTGGCTGCTTTGTCATAGAGCCGCTTAAGGTTCCCATAAGCTCCCTCAAAAGACACTTCTGACTGAATGCTAAAAGAGACAAACTGCTGAGTTATGGCAGGGGCAGAGGTGGAGAAAGGGAAAGGTCACTTACAAGGCCTTAAGAAATGATGCTACTAGTAAAACCAGTTGCCATCAAGTTGAATGCAACACAAGGCAGCCTCATGTGTGTCTGCGTCATTCACCACAGGGTTTTCAATAGCAGTTTTTCTCAGAAGTAGCCTTACTTCCAAGGTGTCTCTGGGTAGACTTAAACCACTAACCTTTCAGTCAGCAGCTGAGCATGTTGACTGCCTGCACTATTGAGGGACTCCTGTAAACGCAGGCTGTCCATGTCTTGTTTCACGCACATACAACTGAGACTTTTTTAAATGTGAAAATGTGTGCGCACGTGTACACAAACACACCCTTACCCTCCCTTCTTCCATTTCAGAGTAAAAATGACTTAATCTCCTCTATATTGAAACACAGGGAGCTCTGCTGTCTTAGTGGTATGGAACTGCACTGCCAACACAAAAGTACGCAGTTTGAATCTACCAGCTACTCTTCAGGAGAAAGACAGGCAATCTCCTCCTGATTTATTGCCTCTGAAAACCTGCTAGAGGGTCAGCTATGGAGCAGTTCCAACTAGAAGGCACACAACAATGGATTTACATACAGATACTTAGTCCTTTGGTGTGTTACAAACTTTATTACTGTTGGCTACCATAAAATTCACTTTGACTCACAGAGCCTTACATGTAACAAAATGAAATGTTGCCCAGTCCTGAACCAAGAGGTTATAAATTTAGAAACTGAATTTAAGATAAGTGTAGAAATATAGGAAAGAGCCTGGATAGTACAGTGCATTGAGCACTTTGCTATTATCTAAAAGCTCAGGGATTTAAACCCACCAGGTTTTCCATGGGAGAGAGATAAGGCAGTTGTTCCCACAAAGAGCTGTACCCTGAGAAGCAGTTCTACTCTGTTCTGCAGGATCACAATGAGCTGAGATCAATCTGACAGCAACAGATTTTGAGTCGGTAGAAAGCTCTGGAGACGTAATGGTAAGTTGTGCTGCCAACCCAAAGAAACACGGTTTTAAATCCACCATTCCATGGAAGAAAAATGGGCAATCTCCTCTATGCAATCACCTGCTGGAGGGTCACTGAGTCAGTTCCAACTCAACAACAGCGGTATATGAAGTCAGTCCGCACTAGTTGAGTGTAGAAGGAGCACCCCAAGAGCAAATACTTTGAGGAAAAGCAAACTGAATACATGAAATGGGAAATAAAGAAATGAAACACTTTTTTAAAAAGGCGCCAATACTTTGCTGGCAGGTTTCATTCACCAGGTCAGTCAAGAATCACATAAAATTATATGGCAGAATCATAAATATTACTTTAGTCTTTGTTCACTTAAATCACAATGACCGCTCCATTTCCTTTGCTTTGAAGTCAACTCACTCTACAACCTCCTCTGATTTGATTGCTCAAAAACACTTCAGTTCTGATTAGGTGACTACAATAAGATTTTTTCGTTTTCTTGGCAGCTTATTGTCACTTAAGTAATTGTATCCTAATAGCCATGTGCATCTAGGTCTAATGACTCAGCATTCTATCCTTAATAGAATTTGTATACCCTAACAAAATGGGGTTTTCTTAATCTTGAGGATCAGACCCTAAAAAGCAGTAACTCACCTTGCCTGCTAAGCTGACCCTGCATAGTATCATCTCTCTCTCATCAAGAGATCAAAGCTCTGCTCTACCAATGAAATGCTAGTTATAGCACATTGGGTCTTACTACCTTTACTGAACATTTTTAACAAAGATTCTATAGAAGAATCTATGGAAAGGGGTGAAATGCAGCAGAAAAGAAATTTAAATTCTTATAGACTCCAGATTTTCTGGCACCATGAGAATTAGATGAACGCTTAAAACTACTGACCTGAGAGTATCTTCCAAATTTGAACCAAAAATATTCCAAACAATAGTTTATCTTAACTAGTAAAAAGTGTCTACCTTGAGCATTATACTCTTATAAGAACTACCTGTTGTTGTTAATCGCCGTCAAATCAAGCATAACTCACAGTGACTCTATGAAAAAAAGGCCTGAAGCCTTTCTGTAACTACTGTCACTTGTCAAAGTTCACAGAGTTTCTGGAGGCATGTTGTCTAGGAAGTGATGCCACTCATGCTTCCTAAAAGCAAGATTAAAATGACAACAGCACTCATCAAGAAGTATATAAAAATAAAACCCAAACTCAGGGGAACTCTGGTGGCCTAGTGGCAAGAAGCTACACTGCAATCCCAGAGGTGCACAGTTCAAATCCACCAGATGCTCTGCTGGAAAAGGAAAGGCAATCTCCTCCTATGCCAGTTGGATCTGATTTGACCGTACACACACACAAAAAATAATAAAATAAAAAAAATTTTTTTTTAAAAAAAGGAAAGCTCTGGTGGTCTAGTGGCAAGAAGCTGCACTGTAATCCCAGAGGTACACTGAATCCACCAGATTCTCTGCTGGAGAAAGAGGGACAATCTCCTCCTGTACCAGTCAGATCCAATTTGATGGTGTATACACACACTCTTACGCTTACACTTAAAAAAAAAATTAAGAATACTAAAACCCAAACTCACAGGGAATGAATGGGCTCCAGCTCAGACACTCCCTCCAGGGTCTCCTGCAGGGTTTCTGCCACTGTAACTATAAGAGGAGGGGACTGCTCATCTTCCACAGAGCTGCTCGTGGATTGCTGGAGACGAGTCTTGCTTAGCAATGCAATGTGCTACACAATGTGTCACCAGCACTCCTTCATATTAATGGGGAAGGAACAATCAAGGGGAAAAAAATCAAGCAAACAAAAAACCTCAAGAAACTCAACTCATTCCTGCCAAACTGGAACAAACTATAGCTGGCCCTCCAGCAGGTTTTCAGCACATTACATTGGGGAAGACAGCTCATCTTTGTCCCTTTGCACCCTGGTGGATTTGACCCACTAGAGGTGTCACTTTTGGGTTAACAGTGCAAGTCTTTACAGACTGTGGCACCAGAACAACCTGGGAAAATATAATCAATATTCACTGACTTGCACATAAAAAAGAAGATGAATTGCTGTATGTTCTGCTCTGTATTATTAAAAAAAAATTGAGAAAAATTGAAGCATTAGAATTCTGAGGTTCAATTAGAGATCATTTTGATTAGCATTTTATTATTTTTCTCTTCAGTAAGACAGAAATCCTGAATTTTGGCTAATATAGTGAGTGGACAAACATTTTAGTCGTTCACTGTTTTAACAGTTTGGCTGAGTGAAAAGCAGCAAGATTATGTCAGGGTCCCCTGACAGGAAGGACTCCTCAATGTGAGCATTCCTCTATCATTCTCAGACAAGAAGACTATAAGGAAGGTAACAGAGAAAGCAAAGCAGCACTAGTAAAGAGACAGCAAATACTCACCAGCGCAGGTAGCAATACATGGCTTCCACATTATAGTACTTGCTGCCTGCAAGGGTACCCAGCTGGTTGAAGGGCATTCCTGGTGAGAAAGAGTCAGGAAATCTGAGGCCAAAATATTCACCTGAAACCACTAAACCAATCAATGCTAAGCTTCAGTGCTCACAGGGAGAAGAGCTGATCTGCATGTGACACCAATGTCTCATGTGATGAGCAGATCAACCGCACCCTTCTGGGGCTTAAGGATCTCTTTTCACTTCCTTCCAATAAGTCTATTCCTACCTGGCCCACCAGGAGTTATCGACACTGAAAGGGTACATTTAGCTCTTCCAAGATGACAGAACTCCATGGAGCCCTCTCCTGTATTTCATCAGCTTAAATTTATCACCTCTTAGTCCCCTTTCCTTCACCGTTATCTCCAGCATAAAACACAATAGTGTTTTAGCCCTTCTCTCACACAGTGGTCGGTTCTTCCCAAAGAAACCTCAGGATAGGAAAGCCATGATTTCTCTTCTACAGTGCTCCTACTCAGGTTAAGACTTTACCATTTCTCTTTCCCTCCCATCATCTTCTTCTCTTTGTGTGTGTGCACATGCATGTGTTTTACCAGGGGAGAATTCACCAAAGTGAAGTGAGAAAGAAGAGGATCCTGGGGGAAAGCTAACAGAAAGTGAGAATGAACTGCATGCTCAACAGCTGTTTTCCTCCAAGAAAAAAGGTACTGGGTTGGGAGGCCCAAGCAGAAGCCTACTTACCAATCTGGGGAGCGACTGACAGAGCTTGATAGTAAAATCTCTCAGCTAATAGCTCAGTATCGACGCCAGCTAATTCATTCTGATATCGTGCTGCAAGAGAAGAGCAAAGGCAAATGACATTATTGTATGCTTCAGAAAATCTTTCCTCATCTGGGAGTCCACTCTGAGGAGCTGTAATAGGTAAGAGCCTGGGAGGAAGATGCCTGAGCTAGAAGGCAGATTGCTTGGGTCTCTGGCCCATATTAAATCTGCATGACTATGGGTAAATTGTTCAACTCTCTTCTTTGCTGGTAGGTTCAAAATGTAAAGACCATTTAGTGTTTGTAAAGGTAACAGGCCCATCTTAATTATCTCTTCTTAATGGAGGAGAGCTGCTGCATATATAATAGCTTAGAAAGACCTCTGGTATTGGCTTCCAGAATGTAATTGCTCAATTCTAGAAGGAAAACAATAACTAATGATATTACAGTAAATCTGCTTCTATGAGGAACCTAGGAGGGGGCTAAGAGTGGAGAGAGAAGCAGCCTTATGTCACCTAGAGATAATGTATCCAGCAGCCACATGAGTAATCTATCAGAACTAGGAACCATAAAACAAGAGTACTTTACATTCTTAAAAACATCTGTCATGCAGATAAAGTGCACCCTGAGGTTTGACTTTATTTCCTGTCCTGCTTAAGTTTCTGTATATCTAAGAGTCCCTGAAGAGAAAAGAACAGCTCAAGTAAAGAGATAGACATCAAATTAAAGTCTTCTTAACCCACAGAAATACCAACCTGACTTAAGCAAATCTTAAAGACACTTTCCTTCTTCCCATATTCACTGATCCTCTTTCACTCCACTCAGAAGGGCAGTGAAAAGAAGTAGATTGGAGAGGAAAGTTATCAGAGGCCAAACAATTCCTCCTGCTTTCCAATCACATTAAGAGTAGTACCAGGGGAGCTCTGGTGGCCTAGTGGCAAGGATCTGCAACTACAATCCCAGAGGCGCACGGTTCAAATCCACCAGATGCTCTGCCGGGGAAGGAGGGACAATCTCCTCCTATACCAGTCAGATCTGATTTGACGGTACACTCACGCAAAAATAATAAAATAAAATTTAAAAAAAAAAAGAGTGGTACCAACAGCTAAGGCAGATTGGGCTAGCACTATAGTCCAAAACAGAGAAAAGGAAAGATGCAGATTCTTACACAAATCCCCCAGGTACACTAGACATCGGTGGCATGCCATCTGTGCCCAATCCATCTCCTTCCCTGTGGCAGACACTGGCTTCTTGCATCCTGAGAGAGAAACAGAGAGAGACTCATGAGCCCATTCCTCTGCCCCCATCTACCAGGAAACACCTTTCCCTAGTGGAGACAGGAGATTGAGAATGCAGGTCTAGCCTCAGAACACTGACTCTCTGGGCAGAAAAGATGCACATCCTGGACACAGAAGGTCACAGAAACGATTCACTCACAGGACAAGAAACAGGAAAGGAAGAGGCAGGACCCTCAAGCAGAGTTCACTGGGAGAAGGTCATATAAAAAGTCATCACGAGAATGCCTCCAGAAGAGAAAAAGTTCAAGTATCAGGAAGATAACAAACTCCCAGGGTATAAGTAACCCACATAAAGGTGAAAGTTTTAGGTAAAGACAGGAAATGAACTTGCTGGGAAAAAAGATCTGAATGAGGCCTAGGCAAACGCTCCTGGCCTCTGCATAGAGAAGTTCACAGAAAAGGTTCACGGAGGGTTGACTACTGAAGAGACAAGGGGAGTATGCTTTACATAAAGAGGCTGGCAGTGGACTAACCCAAATATGCCTGACTCGCATCTCTCCTTTCACGCAGGTCTTTCAGTTAAGAAAGCCTGAGTTTGAGGCGATACCATTTCTCCATGTTCCAAGTATTGTTCTAAGTTTTTTATATTAACTTACTTAATCCTCACAGAAAATCGCTAAAATAAGTTATTAAAATTTAGAAGCTCATCCTCCCCCAGGTTAATAATTTATTGTACAAATTAAGCATCACATGGTGAGATGACATTAGCTTCTCCAGGTATGACAAATTGGCAGATGAGGTGCAGATAGTTTAGAATCCCTAGGAGAGTGGAGGCCAAACCATCCAAGCAGTTCAGAGGGCTAAGGCTGAGTAGCCAAGGGTCAGGGAGAGGCCTGCATAACTGAGAAGATGCCCGTTTATGTGGCTTTCACAGCTGGAGATTTTTTAAGACTTTAACTCAAATTATAGGACTAGCAAAGCAATGCCCCCATATGGCCAGTACACAATTCAGTCTACCTGTGAACAGGTAAGAGTTGAAATATTTTGTAATACCAGTGAACTGGAATTGAACATCACTTTCTTGCCCTGCTGATTTCAATCTAGCCAAAGCCATAAATTCCACAGGATGTGTCCTTCAATGTACAAAGCTGACCCTTGGCCCAGCCAGAAGCAGCTCATCTTAATCATTCAACATGTAGTCTCTCCTCTTGGGTGTGCAGCCACTATCTGAAACAGCCCTTCCCAGTGTTTCCTTACAGAGATGTCACTAGTTTGGGTGAAAGGGAAAAGCATCAATGAAGAGAATACTAGCAAGGGAAGAGGGAGGCTAAAAAGTAAAGTGATCAAAAGAATTAGCCCTCTGAGTTAAGAGTTTTAAGCTTATTTTCAGGTTGTGGGACCCTCTGACTATTTTGTAGAACCTATGGACACTAACTCAGAATGTTTTCTTTTTAAATAGTGTTCCTAATTTTAAATATGAATAAAAAAAATAAATTACACTGGGAAACTTATCAAAATAGTTCTGAAATGTTTGCTAGAATAGCAAATACACTTAATAATAGATTAAATAAGGATATAATGACTATAGGTGGTGTCCAACTTAGAACATAGTACAGTGAACTGCATTTATGATTATCCATTTTCAGAGTACCACCTTATCATTAATAAAACGTTGTAGCGCATTATTTGCTGATGTTATTATTCAGATGTTTACTTACAGACGTTCAATTTAATGATTTACTTTTCAAAATACTGCCATATTTATTAAAAGTAGCCTAGTGGCAAGAAGCTACACTGCAATTCCAGATGTGCCTGGTTCGAATCCACCAGATGCTCTGCTGGAGAAGGAGTTACAATCTCCTCCTGTACCAGTCAGATCCGATTTGAAGGTACAATGCACAAAAAATAATAATAAAATAAAAAAAAAACTAATAATAAAAAGATTCCCGAAGGCACACAGTTTGAATCCCAGCTGGAGAGTCAGCTATGAGTCAGTTCACACAAGAGGATGGACAAAAGAGAAGGAAAAGGTAGAGAAAAAGAATTAGGGAGAAGAACCTGTAAAGAATGGCACCACTAAAGAGAAAACGACTAGTTAGAAAAAGGAGGTAAATCTATATAGCTGCCAGTTCCTCAGCTGGCAGGAAAAGAGTCTGCACTATCTGAGACATTGTCCATAATTTTCCCCAACATTTAAAAAATTTCATTATGTTCATCAAACATTAAGAAAACAAGCTCTTGCAACAATGAATGAATGGAAACCCAAAATCTCTGTAAATGCTCATTAAAATTAATAAAATTTAATTAAAAAAAAAACAAGCTCTAAAGTGAAAAGAAATGGTGCCAGCCAATTCAAATGAGAAAAGAGCTGATAAAAAAGAAATGCTAGCTATTAATACCATCTTCTAGTGCCAAATTTACCCTTGATTCTTCTGTCCCGCATGACTCCACTTCAGTGGGCAATCACAGACCAACAGAGGTCTCTTTCCCTAAGATTTTTTATCTTAACAGCATATGTTTGTTTGGATAAATTAGAACTTCATGAACCATTTGTAGGTCTTGCTAGAACACTCTCTGCATAGGAGGGTCACAAGTTACACAAACCCTGAGGAATGATAAGGCCAGAAGTGAAGGCAGTGACCGTGTTACCAAGAGCACCTTTCAGATTTCACTGACCTATGAGGGGGTCGGTGACATGGGTCCAGTCGATGCAGCATTGCAGTTCAAGCTGGTAGTGGGACTGGATATAGAGGAGGAGATGCTGATAGAAGCCAATACCAGCAACCAGGTGTGTCCTGTAGGCACATTCCAAGGTACTCCGGCTATGAATGTGCTAGAGATTGGAGAAAGGAAGGGGACACCTAAGTAATAGGCACAAGTGTCACTTTCCCTTCTCCTCCCATCTCATTAATACATTTGCAGAAATAAACACATTCACAACCATCTTCTTAATCCTAAAACTTAGTCTACATCTCCTCTCATTTACACATCACCCCTAAACCCTTAGATTTCTCTTTCTAGTCTCCTTATCTGAGACTAGGCTCCTCTCTATTTTCAGGACTAAACAGGCCTGTGTTCCTACTTCCTCTCTGCCATTTCTTCCTTGGTTCCCACTTTTGACTATGCTGTAGTCCACTTTTTCTGTCTTCCATCATCAGTTTTCTCCCTTTAGACTTGTAGACAAGTTCCTCCCCAAGTCTTAGGACTTTCCTTTACCTTTTTGTTGGTCTTAATCAGTTGGATAACTTCATAGTACACCTTTCTCCATAGCAGCTCCTCAGCCTTCCTGCCATAGTCCACTGGGTGCAGGAACATAAGCTTGACGCAGAGCTCACGCAACCTGTGAGGACATAGAGAACATTAAAGAGACTGTGTTGTCTCTTGGTTGGGAATATAAGGATTGAAAGCAAGGAGGCACCTGTCAATACACCCACCAATGAACCACCGGGCTTCCCAAAAAACACACACTAAAAGGCCAATATGGCACAAGTCAAGTTCCGGGACAAAAGTCCAGGAATGCAGCTGGAACCCCAAAAGGTAAGATAGAAAACAATACAAATGAAGGGGAGCTCTGATGGCCTAGTGGCAAGAAGCTGCACTGCAATCCCAGAGGAACACGTTCGAATCTACCAGATGCTCTGCCGGAGAAGGAGGCGCAATATCCTCCTGTACCAGTCAGATCTGATTTGACGGTACACGCACACAAAATAATAAAATAAAATAAAAAACAACAAAAAAACAATACAAATGAAATAATTTCATTTTCTTCCCCATATATTCCACTCATTTTTCTTTCCCTTCATTATGTAGTATGACTGATTCTCACAACTCAAATGTATTTTTATGGCACTAGCCTATTAAATGCAGAAACTGTAAATGGATTGAAGGATCCTCATCTCTCCTAGAAACGCCAGAGACCTTACAGCCCATCATGATTAATATGCAGTCAAAAGGTAAGAGAACATGGATCTATATCTGATGAGGTTTTGCATGGAGAGTGGCAGAGAAACAATAAAGATCTGTGGTTAACAGTCTCTAACTTACTTGTTCCTTAGGCTAATATTCTCTGGTTTGAACACTTCTTGATAAGCAGTTTTGTTGCAAAGGATAAGGTCAAGTCGATGCACAGCCTCCACCACAGCCCTGTGAGGAAAGACAGGCAAACAGCTCTGAGTCAAATGCACAGCACACAGGACACTATTATTGCAATTCTAGAGGAAGAATTGAAAAAGTGTGAGGAAAAGAGAAGATGGCAGACTTAGTTGTGTACAAAATAAGAACAGTTTCATCCTGGCCTTAGTTACTATATCAAGAAAAATAGAGAAAATAACAGCAGTTACTTAAGATGACTATTGTAAGGGTAAAATAAAATAATTTCTATACAACATTAGTCCATAATAAACATTCAATAAATAACAGTGGAATGAAATATTATGTAAGGGGTTATGATCTGACAAAATGTATGCCTCGTTTAATACTCTTCTTTTGAAATTGTCAAGTATGGGATGTAGAAAAGGGGGCCATGGGAGACTTATGAGCTACTCTTAAAAGGTGATCCATCCATTTCACCACTGTACCTTGTCCCATAAATGCTACTTAAGAAACTGTTTGCTTAGCATTCTGCTAAAAGAATATATGTTCTGGATGCCAACTGCCTGGGTTCAAACACTGGTTCTGCTTCTTACCAGCTAAGTGGTTCTGGGGCAAAATATCTACTTTACTTATTATATCTCAACTTTCTCATCTATAAAATGGGATAATCGTATTATCTAGCTTGTAAGTAGCAAATTAGTTAACATAAATAAAGCACGCAAAACAACACTTGGTATTGTAGGGATTTTGGCAGTGGTGGAGGCCATGGCATCAGGATGAATGCTCCTCCCACCTTTGCTCTTCAAGGATGGGCGAGAAGCTGATCACCATTAACAAGGACACCAAGGTACCCAATACCTATCTGTTCACCATCAAGAAAGATGACCACACACTGGGAAACATAAAATCACAGCTGTTGAAGGATCCACAGGTGCTGTTTGCTGGCTACAAAGTGGCCCACCCCTTGGAAAGATTATCATCAGTGTGCAGACCACACCTGACCACAAACCCCCAGGAGGCCTTTACCAGTATAATCACAGACAGCACTTTTGGGTAGCCATCAAAGACAAACAAGAAGGAATGGAGTAGAGGACTGGTAGGAACCCAGCTCGTCCCCTCTGCTGGACACCTCTCTCTGGGAACCAAGCTGAGAGACTTCTGCTGGCTGTGGCCCTCCTTGTAAGATATCCCATGAGCCCTTCACCTTGACACTTCTGTCTCCTGTACATACATATTCTTATTTTCCTAATAAAGTATGACAAAGGCAGGGAAAACCCCAAAACACCATCTGCCACAAAGTAGATATCCAGTGTTAGTCTCCATCCTTCCAGAGCTAAGAGACACTTCAAACCTTGAAAAATCTGTCGTCACAGCACAAAAAGGCCAAGGAAAGTCTTCAATGGATTAAAAAAAAAGTCTCTGGAATAGATGACATCTCTAGAAAAGTAAAACCAATAGGATGACAGCACAGATGGGTCATACCCATGGAAACAAAATCAACCAGAAACCTGGAATGATGATTTCTCAAAATAAACCAAACTGTGTCCTGTGATGGGGAAAGTGACCGCACCCAGCTGAGTGGATGGGATGGGCTGGTCTTCTCATAGAAAATGTGAGTTGAGCACTTCTCCACAAATCTCCAAGGTTACCAAGATATGGTGGTCAACCTGGCCCAAAATGCCAGGGACAGTCTCAAGCAGCCATCAGTGATTTACCTTATGCCAGTTCTGTCTCCTAAAGTTTCTCCACCTCAATGCCAAAGGGAGATCTTGGATGTTAGTGCATATGTGTTTGTGTTCATGGAGTAGTTTCAGAGCTTTCCTAACAGTCTCAACATGAAAATCAAAAACCACTACTCTAGAAGTTCTAACTGCAAACTGTCAAATTTGAGAGCTGGGCGTTCAGTTTCCTTCCATTCTCCATCAGACCATAAACAAATCTATTGTTTCAAAAAGAAACCAATCTTTTCTCTCATTCACTACTCTAAAGGCAAGTTTATAACAGAGCTAAAAGAAATTTCAAGTATTAAAAGGGAAATAATTAAATTGGTCTAGTGAATTAATTGGTACTTTTACCTGTTCCAGGAGTCCTGGTGGCACAGTGCACTAAGTGTTGAGCTGCTAACAAAAAGCTTAGCAGTTCAGATCTACAAAATGCTTTATAGAAGAAACACTAGGCAATCTGCTTCCATAAAGACTACAGCCTTGAAAACTCAAAGGGCAGTTATATTCTGTTCCAGGGTTGCTGTAAGTTGGAATTATCTAGACAGACAGCAGTGGGGGTTTTGCTTCTATTCACTCCAGTAACTATTCTTCCATTACCTTTTTTTCTTTTCTTTTTCTTTAGTGATTCAAACACTTCAAAACTTCATTCATGTGTAAACAACTCTTTATTGTGGGAATTTCCCAAATTTAGGCTTTCTGAGTGGCAGATTCATAGTATAAAACATGTTTTATCTTGAAAAGAGAAGCCAGATCTTCCTTCCCTAGTTTCATCAATCACTCCTACAATAGTAAATACTAAAAGCAGAGACTGGTTGCCTCAAATTTCTACATTGCTCCAAATCAACAGCAAATAATTTCGGATAGAGATACTCATGTACACACACGGAAACAGGACTATGAAAATAGAGGCCTGAAAAATAACTAGATTAGAGAATGACAAGAAGGATAACCAGAGCTGCCCCTAAAAGCTGGGGACTAGTAAGGAATGTTTCAGACACTCCCACGCACTGTCTGACAGGCAGCACTGACACTCAGCAGCATGAGAAAGCACACGTGCCACCCCCCAGCTAACTCCTTCCTTGCTTAGGGACTGTTTGGGGCAGCCCACAGTGTGAGCCCAGGGGCTGCTGGATGGCTCACTTCTCTATTTTTGGAACAGCCTTCTCCCCCTCTGCCTTCTGGCTTACAAAGTCAAAACAAGCAAGATGTGTGCTCAGGGAAGAAAAGACAACATGCTCTTGACTCTTTCACTGCCAAGGTGGAGACCTAGTCTCTGCGTTGTTTTCTCACATAAACATCCTGGTACAAAAATGCCAGAGGTAAAGAAAGACTCTTTCCAATAGAGAATAGAGGGCAAATAGCTAACTCAGTCTCTGTGCTCCGTCCTACTCTGAGACAGTCCTGGGGCCCATACTCCAGTTACCCTAACAGCCCTCCCCCACTGAGCCCATATTCTCAGTCCAGAGTGGGGAAAACTCATACTGTCCTGCTCCAAAGAGCGCTGAAGGGTAAAGATGTGACTTGAGGAGTGAGTGGCTGCACAGTGGAAATTAGAAACCAGGAATGGAAGCTGCCTGGCAAGAGATGGTGGTCATGAGGCTGGAGAAAGGGCTCAGGAGTCCCCAAATGCCCTGAATGGGCTCCCATGTCCTAAAAGCACCGTGAACCCAAAGTCCTTCAAGGCTATTCAAGTCCAATACAACTAGCTTTCCAGCCTCTTTCTTCTTATTCTGGGTTATAAACGACTTCAAGAGTTTATACATTCCGAATCACTGCTTTTAAGGACAAGACAACTAAGACTCAAGGTCACAGCTGGGAAGATGGCAAAAAGCAAGAACCCGACCCTTGCTCTCTTGACTTCAGCAGGGACTTTTCTCTGTCAAGTCTTACCCGTGAAATCCCCAAAGGGTTCAGAGCACCGGTCCCTTCCGGGTTTTCCGACATCTGTGGCCCCACCCTCACCTCCCTGACCCTTCCAACCCCCCAATTCACACCCTCATCCCACAAATCAGCAAAGCTCTGTGCCCGCCCCAAGTTCACTGGGGAGGGGATTCCTCCACGTGCTTCCCTTCAACCCTCCCACCCACCCAATTCCTTTCAGTTCTATCCTAGTTACAGAGCCCCGCCCCTCCTGCTCCCTCCAAAATTGCACCTTCCTCCCTCGCCGGCACCCCAGCAGGTACCAGGCACCCACCCGTCCAGGAGGCCCCGCCCCTCTCTGTCCCCCACTTTCCTCGGCTGCTGCACTCACGCCCTGGCCCCTCTCACCGGTAAAGCCGCTTAGTGTGGAGGACCTTTGCTTCGGGCTCGCTGCTCTCCCCTGCCGGGGGGCCTTGGCTCATGATGCCCGGGTCCGGGGATGGCTCCCGGTCACAGGCCCCCGCCACTCACCGCTACTGCCACCATTGCCGTCTCCGGCCGTAGCCACAACCACCTCCGAAACCGGCCCTGCTCGGCCGCCATCGCTGTGAGGCGGGTGCCCGCGACAGCTCCTCCTCCGCTCACCAAATCTCGCGATATTTAGCACACAATTGCAGGCCAGTGTGCTGCAGCCATCAAGTCTCGCGAAATTTGTTTTCCCTCCCGGGAAGTTGCCAGAACTAACTCTGGGCAACATGACCTCTTTCCGGCTTCTCCAAGCGTTTGAGAAAAACTTTATTGGCAAATCTACCAAAGAACGGACAGTGAGTGAGAGGCTGAAGCTAAACTGGTTTGGGCATGAGGGCTTATGGGTAGGATTGTCCCAGTGATTTATCTCATTGATCATTTAGTCCATCCTTCCGCTCCTCATCCTGTTCTTCATTTGAGTCAGTTCTCTTTCAGATTACTAGTTAAAGTGACTCCAGTTCTTTTTTCTTTTTTCTATAGTAATCATAAGTTTTGGAAAGAGCCAAGCATCACATGTGAGGAAAGCCCTGTAAGCTCTGAAAGCCCAGGGATCTCTGGTGGCCTACTAGCAAGAAGCTGCCTTGAAATCCCAAAGACACGCGGTTCGAGACCACCAGCTGCTCCATGGGAAACGTGAGCAATCACTCCTCTGGAGTGATTACTTGCCTCTGAAAACATGCCCAAAGGTTAGCTATGAGTACACACAATCATAAATAAGTTTTTAAAAAATATGTTAATAGGGAGCTGGGTGGCCTAGTGGCAAGAAGCTGCACTGCAATCCCAGAGGTGCATGGTTCAAATCCACCAGATGCTCTGCCGGGAAAAGGAGGGACAATCTCCTCCTGTGTCAGTCAGATCCGATTTGTCGGTGTACACACACACACACACACACACACACACACACAAATAAAATAAAAATTAAAAAAATCTTAAAAAAAATATGTTAATGTTTTCTTGGAAAGAGCCAAGGACATGCAAGGAAAGCCCAGTAGGACGTGACACAATCCTTGTACAAGTACTTTGCCCTTCAGCTTCCCCTCCCAAAGATTTCCAGCCTGTATTTCTCTTTTACACCAGCCCAATAAATAATTATAGTATACTTGCATTCTTCCAGCCACCTTGCTGTGCACACAGAGATAAGCAAACCAGACACTGACCCTGTTGTCACAGTTCTAATGACTTTAGGGATAAGATCTCACAAAAATGAGAAGTCATCTCTGTCTGCCACCCTTACCCACTCGTTGCGTTGGACAGACTACCTGCTATCTAACTTGGATTCCTTTAGCATCTTATCTAAGTCAAAAGGCAAAGTATTTCTGGCATTGTTTATAGGTAGTAATGGGACCATGAATTCTCCTTCCAAAAAACAAGTAGGCTTCTCTAACTCCATCCACTTGACCTTTCTGCTCTTGAAACAGCCCAAGTCCTTCCTACCTGATGGCCTTTTACTTGCTGTTTCTTTGCCTGTCATACTCCTCATCAGGTCTCAACTTAAAAGTCACCCTGTCAAGGAGATTTTCCTTAAATGGTCTTAATAGTTTATTTGATTTTTAAATATCTACACCCCAATGAAACATAAGTTCTTCAAGAACAGAAACATTGCTTTCTTCTTGAGTCAGTGCCTACATAGACTAAGAAGCAGTTATCCGAACAGAGCAAGGGAACACTACATGGTTCAAAATCAGGAAAGGTGTGTGCCTCAGGGCTGTATCCTTTCTGTAGACAGAGCAAAATCATTGAAGAAACTGGACTATATGAAGAAAAACACAGCATCATGATTAGATGATGACTCATCAACAACTTGCATTATTCAGAACCTTACTTGTAGTAGGTGACAAAAACTTGAAGCACATACTGCAGAAGATAAAAAAACTACAGCTTTCAATATGGGTTATATCTCAGCATCAAGAAAACAAAAATCGGGGAGCTCTGGTGGCCTAGTGGCAAGAAGCTGCACTGCAATCCCAGAGGAACACGGTTCGAATCCACCAGACGCTCTGCCGGAGAAGGAGGCGCAATATCCTCCTGTACCAGTCAGATCTGATTTGACGGTACATGCACACAAAATAATAAAAAAAAAAGAAAAAGAAAACAAAAATCATCACCACTGACCAAAAGGCAACATTATGATAGATGGAGAAAAGATTGAAATTGTCAAGGATTTCATTTTACTTAAGATTCACAAACACTCTTGATACTGGCAGTCAAGAAATATAGATATATATTTTTAAAAAGTGTTTCATTAGGAAAATCTGCTGTCAAAGACCTCTCTGAAGTTCTAATGAGAGGAAAGATGTCAGTTTAGAGACTATGATGTGTCTGATCTAAGTCACGGTCTTTTTGATTGCTTCCTATGCATATGTAAAGTAGACAATGAGGATGACAGAATTGATGCCTTTGAATTACGATGGTGGTAGAGTATTGAACATCCTTTGAACTGCCAAAGAAACAAACAAATCTATTTGAAAAAAGTACAACTAACGTGTTCCTTACAGGCAAGGATGGTGAAACTCTGTCTCTCTTGCTTTGGGCATATTCTCAGGAAGGACCAATCCAGGCATCATGCTGGGAAAGGCAGAGGATCAGAGAGAGGAAGACCCTCAATGAGATAGACGGACACTGTGACTACCACATCGGGCTTGAGCAAGGTAGAGATCATAAGGATAGAACTGTTTTGGTAGGGTTGCTATGAGTTGTAGCCAATTTGATAGCACCTAATAACCTAATAACCACAGTGGCTAGAGAGCTGTACTGCCAACCCAAAGATAATAGTACCTCTCTGGACGTTTGAATCCTCCCACAGCTCCAAGAGAGAAAGACAGTCTTCTCAGTTGCGATTTACAATGTCTGCAAACTCAATGCAGACCCAACTATGAGTTAATTCAAACTCAATGGCAGTGAGGTGAGGTGTTGAATAATAATTCACTCACTGTGCTCCAGTGGGTTCCAATCTGTAGTGACCCTCCATTGGATTTTTGTGGCTATAAATATTTCTAGGAAGAGACTGCTCATCTTTCTCCAGAGGAGTGGTTGGTGAATTTGAACTAATGACCTTATGGTTAACAGCCTGACAGGTTATACACTACACCACTAGAGCTTTAATTAATAATAGGTGCTCAATAAGTATTTACTGAATTAATAAATATATAAATTCCACCTCTTTTCTAGGCATTCCAATCTATTCCAAGAGTCCATTCTCCTTCTTCCGCTTTTCTAGTTGGGAGTTCCTACACATCTCCTAAAAAACACACCCATCCTGCCACATCCCTATGTGATATCCTGCTGCACTCTGAATTTTAGAAAGGATAAAGTCCCTTTTATAATACTTTTTCTGTCGGCCAATTCAGCTGGGCGAGCCCTGTCCCTTTAATCTAGGCCCCACCTGCTCTGGTCAGACAGGTTTGGAGGCAGGTAAAGAGAATGAGACAGAGTGGAATACTTGTACAGTCAGCAGGGAACTGGGCAGCTCTTTTCCCAGACGCCAGGACCCTTCGCCTGTCTCCAGATGGAAAGTAAGAGACTGTCATGTATCTAAATTGTGAGGAAGGGTAGGAGGGTCCCTGAAGAGGTGGGAGTAGTAAGGTGAATTGCAGGGAGGGGAGAAATGCAAGAGAGGGAACATGGAAAACAACCTTGAATCCCTGGAAGTTAGAAATGAACAGATCCAACCCTGAGGAGGTACATGAGGTGGGCTAGTGAGGAGTCTGGAAACCGACCAAGTGCCCAGATTGGATCTGAGAGGACAGAGTGCACTGGCAGAACTAGCTCTTTGGGACAGATTTGTCAACAATCACTGCCATAGACTGCCAGAACAGTTCCAAGCAGGGGTCTGAGGGAGAAGGGGAGATGGGAAGTAGGTGTGGACACATCTCTGGGCACAGGAAGGTTCACCCTGGGAAGGAAGCTCTGGGTAAAGTTCTAGACACGACCTATTTCTCCTCTTCCTGGAATAGGGTGGCCATGAACCTAGGGGTTTGGGTGGAGGTGGGAGAAGGTGTGAGTGGGCTGGCTGAGGCTACAGCTGCCAGGACTTGTGCCCCCTGACTCACCCTCTCCTGCTGGTTGGCATTTGATGTTGAAAAGGAACCTCCATTTCAGCTGCCTACTTCCTTCCTTTCTACCTACCTGTTTCAACCAGGGCTTCAAACTGGCTCATTGTGTATACATAAGATATGGGAATCTTGTTAAAACATTTCTGATTCTGATTCAGTATATTTCTCAGGGTGGACATGCAAATTCTCAACAAGGAGTTTAAACTGAATGAGGTGTTTTTTGGGTTTTTTTTGAGTGAACCATCTCAAAGCTCTGGTTTCAACACCTTCTTCTACACTAGTTCTCTCTAAGGTCTCAGAAGGGGCTCACACTTGTGAGGGAGTCTGCCCTAGAGAGTTGCAGTTCTGCTAGGCTTTCCTAAGGGGTGAGGGCAGGGGCTTCTGAGAGTTCTTCCATCTGCTCCTTTCAGGATGACATGACCTTGCTATAGACCCCAGAACTGAGGCATCAGGATGACAGAACCTGAGACTGTAGCCCTACTGGAAGTGAAGGGGTCTGAGGTTCCAGAAAAGAGCCTGTCCCAGGCCCTGGTTCCCAATGGCAGACAGCCAGAAGAAGAAGATGTGGTTGAACCTCCCAGAGCTGAGTCTCCTAGATTGGAGTCTTCAATTGGGTCACCCATGACAGGAGAGGGGACTGAGGATGGTCTGGACAGCACAGTGAGTGAGGCTGCCACCTTGCCCTGGGGGACTGGCCCCCAGCCCAGTGCCCCGTTCCCGGATCCCCCTGGCTGGCGGTGCATTGAACCAGAGCCCCTAGAATCGGAGCCACCCATTAAGCCAGAAGAACCACTTGAAGATGACATGAACCTACTGCCCGAGAAGGCCGCCCGGGCCTTTGTGCCCATTGACCTACAGTGCATTGAGCGGCGGCCCCAAGAGGACCTCATCGTGCGCTGTGAGTCCGGCCAGGATGAGCGTCGGGCCTTCCTGCCTGCCCGGACCACCCACCCTGAGCCCCCTGAGCGCAAGTGGGCCGAGGCAGTGGTGAGGCCGCCTGGCCGGTCCTGCGGGGGCTGTGGGGACCGTGACGGGCTGAGGGCTGTGGCCTCTGTAGGGGCTGCCCTAGTCTTCTTCCCCTGCCTACTGTATGGGGCATATGCCTTCCTGCCCTTTGATGCCCCACGCCTGCCCACCATGAGTTCCCGCCTGGTCTACACGCTGCGCTGTGGGGTCTTTGCCACCTTCCCCATCGTGCTGGGTGAGTTCTGGAAACAAGACTTGATGAGGGCTGGGCCTGCCTGTTTTGGGGCTGATTTCCTTTCACCAGAGCTGAACCCCTTAGGGCTTCCTGTACTCCATGCGTCTGTCCACCCCTAATCAGGACTGCTTCAGCCCCACTGTATACAGCCTGTGCCTCCCATCTTCCAGCCAAGGCTGCTTCCTCCTGCTTTTCGTTCCTAACTCTGTGCTCTCCACCCCCACCCCAGGGATCCTGGTGTATGGGCTGAGCCTACTCTGCTTCTCTGCCCTCCGGCCCTTCGGGGAGCCCCGGAGGGAGGTGGAGATCCATCGGAGGTATGTAGCCCAGTCGGTGCAGCTTTTCATCCTCTACTTCTTCAACCTGGCTGTGCTTTCCACCTACCTGCCCCAAGACACCCTCAAGCTGCTCCCACTGCTCACTGGCCTCTTTGCCATTTCCAGGTGAGTTGAAACTGGGAGTGAAGTATTGTGGGAGGTGGTGATGCCAGAGGGACCCCCAACATCTGATTAATTGGAGGACCAGGAACAAGGAACTTTCTGGGTTCTGTACCAGCCCAAAGGTACATCCCAGAGCGGACAATCTACTTTGTCCCATGCACCTGGTGTCATTTGATCTGCTAATATGTCTTCTGCCACAAGACATGACTTCAAGGAGGAGGTGGGGGCATGTACACACCAAGCCAGAACCTGAGCTTTGGTGGCATGGTTCATTGGGAGTTGTACGGCTAATCCAAAGGCCACAGCTCTCTGATGATTAGAATCCACCAATGACTCCTTGAAAGAGAGATTGGTGAACTCCTTTCAGGAAATTTACAGCCTTGGAAACCCAGTGGAGGGTTCCAACTCACTGGCACACATGTAACAGAAGTAGGCCCAGGCCGCCTTCTCCATCAGCGGGTTCGTGCCATCTTTGGGTTGCTCCTTGGTGGATAGCTGTGACTCTAGGGACTGTGGCTTAACTCATCATTCAGGGGTCTGGGAATGGGACACTGAGCTGGGGGCTGGTCCCCCAGGGCAGGGTGGCAGCCTCACTCACTGTGCTGTCCAGACCAAACTTAGTCCCCTCTCTATCATCTCTACTAACATCTCACCCATTGCAGCCTATCCTCTGTGGTACCCTGGTCAGGTGGTCATTTGGCCTCTTGTTGAACACCCTGAGATCATTCTTTATAAGAATTATGAAGTACTCAATTATAAGGTAATCTGATTCACTTTTTAAAGATCCTACGTATTAGAAAAGGAACTCTGGTGGCTTAGGAGTGAGGAATTGCACTGCCAACTGAAAGGCCCATGGTTTGAATTCACGAGTTGCTGTCTGGAAGAAAGATGGACAGTTTCCTCCTGTGCAATTTACAGCCTCTGAAAACCCACTCCAGTGGGCCAGCTATGAGTCAGTTCCAACTTGATAAAACAGCAGCAATTCTTAGAAAGGAGCTCTAGTGGCTCAATGTTCAGCTACTAACTGGAAGGTTAGTATTAACCTTTATTAATTCATTAATTGCTTTAGTGTCTGCGGGGAAAAAAGCTCCTTGCTATCAAGTCAGAACCAGCACATAGCTGACCTCCACCTCCAGGTTTTCTTTCAGAGATTATAAATCGCATGGGAGGAGATTGTTCCTCTTTCTTTCAAGGAGCTGTTCGTGGATTTGAACTGCCAGAGAACCACTGCCTTTGAGTTAACTGCGCAACTCCCTATGGACTGTGTGATTCAAACAATTTTCACTCAATTACTAATCAAAAGGTTGGTTTGAATGCAGGTAGTGAGTGGCACCAAGAAAGAGAGGTCATGGGATCTGCTTCTGTAAAGATGACAAGCAAGAACCCCTCAGAGCTCAGTTCTATTATGTCGCAAATGAGGTTGCTCTGAATTGGAACTGACTTGATGGCAAGGGATCAAGTGTTAGAAAGTTTTTCTTTGTGCTGTTGCTCTGTGACCTCTAGAATTGCCTAAGGCATGTCCAGATATGCCTCAATCCTCCCTAGATCCCCGTATTTGACTTCTGTTCTTTTTACTGCCCTCACAGCCCTTCACTGTCCAGGGTCTTTTGCTCCAGGCAGAAAATTTTCCCTGTCAATTGAGGACCCTGCTGAGTGCTACCCTTCTGTGAAGACTCTCATGATAGATTCATGACTTGAAATCAGAATCTGCAGCCTCTTGAAATTCTTAGGTCTTTACCCCCATGTGATCTCCTGACAATCTGGAAGGCACCTTAAAGTTTCTCAACCCCAGGCTTTTCCATATACCTCCTAACATATTTCCTTTTGTTACTTTCAATACAGGCTTCTACATAGCTTTAATTGCTAAAATGAAATTAAATTTAAATTGCTTCTAGTAAGCTGGGGGCTCTGGTGGAAGTTTGTTGGAGTTGTGCTGCCAATCCAAAGGCCGGGTTTCCTGGCACCTCCATGCTGGAACGCCAGCTACGAGTCAGTTCTGATGCAATGTGTTTTCAGATCTGCCTTCCTGTCACTTCTAATTGTGAGCTAATGGTTAGCTGTCCCACCAGCCTCCAGATCATGAAGCAACTTTGCATTTTCTCCTAGTGGATGTTTCCCAAGATAAACTCAACTTTCTTCATGTAACTCAACTTCCCATCTCCCTCTTTGCAAATGCTGGTTCAAGTAGGAGCTGGCTTAAGCAGTAAGGATCATCAGGAAGCTAAAGGAAGACTCCTGATTTTCTGGTCCTGCCCTTCAATTTTATAAGACCAGGTAGCATCAGGTCTTTTCCCTCTTCTATCCAGGCTTCTTTCTTCTCTACTATGGGTTATTTAAACATTTTGTGGCTGTCTCACTGCAAGGATTAAATTAGTTAATTCCTCCAGTCCTTATAACAATCAGACATCTGTTAAGGGTTTGGTAAAAAGGGTTCTTAGTATACCATAGGGAACTCTGGTGGCTCGGTAGTAAGACATTGCGCTGCCAACTCAAAGGCAAGTGGTTCGAATCCACCAGTTGTTCTGCAACAGGAAGACGGGTAATCTCTCCTCATGCGATTACCGTCTCTGAAAACCTGCTGCAGGGTCAGCTTTTGAGTTAGTTCCAACTCAACAGCACACATTATGCCATGCTGCCTACTGATACAATCAAGAAACAGCAATTACTCTCCCCTCTCTGTCACAGGGGAAAAAAGCAGAGACATATCCAATTTTAATAAGCAGTCCTTCATAGACCATGAGGATGCTGCTTCCTCAAGTTCCATTGAAGTATCTGTGTTTATTCTCCCAAAAGGTGAAATTTGGTGGGTGATGTTCTAGGCTTCAAGTAGCTGACTTCTCTCCTCCACCTCTTAAAAAAAGCTATAGGCTTGGGTTCAAGTACAGATTTCGTTATTTCCTAGATGTGTGACCCCTGAAGCATGCTATCAGCATGTATATGTATGTATGTGTGTGTGTGTGTATATATATATATATATATTTATTTGTGTACCGTCACATCAGATCTGACACATAGCCCCATAGCTGACCCTCCGGTGGGGTGAGTTTTTAGAAGCAATTAACTGCACAGGAGAATGCCCAACCTTCCTCTGTGGAGCAGCTGGTCGATTTGAACTGCTTGTATTTGGGATTGGTCCTGTGGGAAGATAATATGAGCAGATCATGATCATGTGCTACCAGATGCAAGGGAGAAAACAGATTTTCCACTCTGCGATGTACACACACTACAACTGTATGTATGTGTATGATTTGAGGGCAGGTTCACAAACTGATTTCCCATTCACACATAACCCTGCCTAATAACATTAAGTGCAAATACATAATCCAATTGTGCTTTCCCCCTTTAATTCCCACCTCCATTTAATCCCTCTTTCCTACCCTCTCCTGTATTCTGGGGCCTTTCTTGGGCAAATGTTGCTCTCGCAACCCTGTATGGTCAGTTATTCTAAGAAGTGAGTGCATCCCTGGTGTTCTTTGCCTGTCCATTGTTTAAAATTGAGCCACAGGGGGCAATTCTGTTCCAGGTTTGAAGGGTGGTTATGAAGGGTGACTAAGGGCTGTAGTCTTAGGGGTTCTACCAATCTCCATTGGACCTGCAAGCCTGGACTTTTGTAATATTATTTTAATTTGATTCCACATTTCCCCCACTCTATCTAGAATCTTCCACTGTAATCCCCTTTAGTCAGTGGTGTTAAGCCAGGCCCCATCTAGGAACCAGTCTTAATTAACCTCTTCATCTGCAAAAGAGGAAATAAATACAATGAAATGCACTACAGATGTGAAAGGAGGAGACTGTTTATATACAGATACAAAATTATCTCCAAGATACATTAAGTGGTAGGGAAAAAACTCAACACACAGCCACTGTTATTTTTAAAAAGGGAGAAGAAAACTAACTTGCACATTTGTACATAAAACTTCACTTGAAGCACATGAAATCATAATATTGGATGCTGGGGGTAGAGACTAGTGTGGTTGGGAGACAACACAGGTAGGAAGATATTCAATTATCCTCATTAGAATCTCTGCATTTTGAGTCAGGAGAACACTATCAGAGTACCTGGCACACTGTAAGTGAGTAAACATTGGCTTGTTGTTAGAATACCAGTGAACTCCCAGCTGCCTTCTCTAATATCTGTTCTTCCACCAGTAGCCTCCATGGTTCCCTTGAAGATTATTAACTGATATCCAGTGGGTCCTTACTTGAGATCCTATATGTAATAGGATGGGGTGGTTGTGACCCACAGGGTAGCCTAACCACCTCCTGCCTCCCCAGGCTGATTTACTGGCTGACTTTTGCCGTGGGACGCTCCTTTCGAGGCTTTGGCTATGGCCTGACCTTCCTGCCACTGCTGGCCATGCTGGTGTGGAACCTCTACTACATGTTCGTGGTGGAGCCCGAGCGCATACTCACTGCTGCGGAGAGCCGCCTGGACTACCCGGACCACGCCCGCGCAGCCTCCGACTACAGGCCTCGTCCCTGGGGCTGAGCCAATTGCCCTTTTGTTCCTGGGGCAGCAGGGGGGGGCTTGGGATACATCTCTAAATGGGTTTTTGGAGGCCTGGACTGTGTCTCCGCCCTGGTACCTTGGAGGAATTAAACCTCACTACTGCCCTTACAGGGGTTCCATCCAATCAGAGCAGAGCCTGGACTGTTCTCCTATCCCCTCTTGGGGCACTTCTTTGAAGCTGGGGACAGCCATGAAGGAGGGATTTTGTTTTCTTGCAGGGAAAGAGCTGGGCAGCTATGCCCCTTAAAGGATGTTGAGGGCACAAAGGCCAGAAGCTGAAAGGGAAGCATGGTTCTTTCCTGAGCAGACTCTGTGACCACTGCCACATACAGCCCACTAATTCCTCGCTTTGTCCCACTCCCTAGGCTCCTAAGTAGGGAGCAAAGCCACTGCTAAATCTTACCCAGGGATAACGGCTGGATGTGAGATTGGACAGTGCTTCCAAGTTTGGTGAAGACCTTCTCTAAGGAGTCCATGTTTCGGACTCTCTCTGACTGACCTTCTAGGGGTCCTTTAACCTCAACCTAGACTATTCCAGCTGTCCCAGCTTAGACAGCTACTTTCTCCTTTCCAATCTATTTAGGTCCCTGTGATATTCCACCTCTAAACTGCACAAATCCTGTTTCTTGCATAGGAAAGAAAGAGCAGATGGGGAGACCTGCTCCCTAACGGCTGTGCCATGCAAGAGGTGGCTGGGGAGTGACTGGAAGGCACAGCACTAATGTTATAGAACCCAATATGTGCATGTGTGTGCGCGACAATAAATCACTACCACAGTCATTGTTGGTTCTTTCCTTGTCTCTGTCTCCCAGTATATCCTGCATCCCTTCCTTGATAGACTGTGCAGCAGAAACTTCCCAGTTGCACATGGTGGAGGGTGGCTGTGACAAGAGGCAGAACTAGGCCTGGTGAGGAAACAGGGCCTTGAACAGAAGCATGCCTTCCATAACCATCCTCCTGTTCCCTGGAACCAGCTCAAGCCATCCGAACAACACTCAAGACACTGAGGGAATGGAGCTCCATGAGGGTGGGGAACAACAGTCTATTTCACCACCTCAGGGCAGCTAGCCGCCAGTCAGAAGGCCTGTCATTTGGGCCTCTAAATCCCACTTAAAGGAAATGGCTGGGGAGGGGAGTACCACCAAAGGGATCTCCCCTCTAGCCATAAATCTGTCCTTGGTCGCCTTTCGAGGGTATGATACAAGCTCCAGCTGGGAGTCCCCAGAGTTGAGTCTGGGGTTTGAGGTTTTGCAGAAAAGGAAGATAGAGTGGAGGGACCTGGTTGGACCACTGACCCTCCAACCTCCCAAAGACTGAGCAAGGCAGCTCCAATGGTGTCCTTCCGACTAGAGAGCAGGCCTCAGTTTAGGGGCTGGTACTCTGAACTCCGCTTGTGGCACAGCAGCAGAATCAGGCTTCCCCCTAACAGGAGGAGGCCTGGAGCTCCCAGGGCCACTGCCATGATGCCCAGGACTAGTGGAGACAAAGTATCCACTGGAGGGGAGCCCACACCTAGGAGCATCGACCTAGAACAAGCAGGGTAAAGAACAGTTAAGCAGGTGTAGTAGGGAGGACCAGCTCTCCCCCAGATCAATACCCCAAAAACCCTTGGCCCATCTCCTGGCTCTTACCAGCTGAGGTAGTGTTGGTCCCAGTAGCCAGGACCTGCAGAAGCCCCAAATGTCAGATTGAAGGCACAGAAGTTGGTCTTGGATCCAAAGAAAGCCCGGACAATGGGTGACTGGGGAAGTGGGTATGTCAAGGTGTGGTGAGGAGGGGATACTTGGCAGGGTAGAGCCGACTCTCGGCTCCCCTGCTTCTGGGAGAAAGCCACTGGTCGCCACTGCATGAAGCCTGATGGGAAAGAATTCCACAGCAGCTGGTTCAACTGGGAAGAAAGACAAGGCAGAGTGAGGAGGATCAACCCAGGTCCAGCCCTTCTTGTCCCTCACCTTCTCCAAGCCTCCATCCAGGCAGTATGTGAGGGAAAGCAGGACTCTGAGTCCCAAGCCAGGCTCCAGAGCCACCAGGCTGTACACTAAAGCCTCAATCCCTCCTCTCTAGAAAGTGAAAGTTGAAGTTAGAGTCCTTTTCTTACTCTGACATCCTGCACGTCTGCACTCAGCCCCTTCCTCTGAGGCCCTTGCAGCTTCCTACTTGCACAAGTCACAGGATACTATTTTCTGCCTGTCTTTAACTGTACACAGAAACCAGGTGAGGTTCATTATTAGCAGAGTGCCCTGCACTTAGAGGAAAGGAATAAAGTGTTGCTGAACAGGACGGTCTGAGGTCTGAATGGGGGGCAGGGCCCACCTACACTTCCCACCCATGTGCTAATACACAGGACACCTGACCTGGAAGACGGCTGGTGCGTACTCGTCGTCAATGGAGTGCTGTTCCTGCACTGAGGGGCAGTCAGCGCCCTGGCTCAAGGTGGCTACCTCCAGTCCAAACAGAGAGTGGTTTCCCCGGGGCGAGGCCCCCACCAGGGCCACCTCCAGCTGGCAGGTGTCTGCTGTGTGCAGGAGGCGAGGGGGTTGGGCTGGTCGGCCAGATTTGGAAAATGCTTGGACCTAAAAAAAAAAAAAAGAGGAGACAGGAGAGGCATGAGAAACAGATGAATGTCTGCAGTTGAGGGATAATCCCATCATTGACGCCCACCCTCATAAACTTGCCTTGAAGTTCTTTTGATTTTCCACATCCTTACCCTGAAGTTCAGGCTGCCATTGGCAAAAGCTTTGGTAGAGTCGTGAATAGGGTGGCCTTGAAATGTAGTGCTTAGAGTGGCAGGATCCAGCGAGTCTGTAATGTTGTTCCAGGAGAATTCAGCCAAAGAGTATGGGGGGTACGGTTTTCCTGGGAACTTTACTGTCTCAGATATGTTGGTGATGTCAAATTCAAACAGCTGAAGGACAAGGGTAGGACAGGAGTGGGTTTACATGGGTTTACCTTTCTCATGGATCAGAGTCCCCTTACTCACCAGTCCCACCCCTAGTCTTTAGGCCCTCCCACTGGTTACAATGAACTCTTTCCTGAGACTCTTCGTGGTCCCCCCTCCAGGTCACCTTCCAATTTCTCACCCTGGTAAAGACAAGGGCAGAAGAAAACTGGATGCTGTCCTTGGGGAGTATCATCAGACCCTCATCAGGCTCAGGGGACAGCAGGCGGCTCCAGTTGACCGTCAGGAAGCTGTTGGGGGTGTTAGTGGCCACCAGGAGTCCCGCTGGAGGTCCCAGGCTGCTCCAAACGTAATGCAGGGTGGAGTTGGTGCCCACTGCACGGATATGAAGCAAATTCTGAGGGGGGCCCCGCCAGTTGGGGATGACCTCCAGAGACACCTGGAACAAGAGTAAGTGTGGGTGAGGAGGAAGGGTGTGGGTACAGGATCAGCAAGCAACTCAAGGCAAAGCAGAAGCTTGGGGGTGGGGAGCTGAGGAGGGCTGGAACCTAGGGCCTTCTGCAAGAGGCATGGGAGCCTGGAGGAAGGGATAGAAGTGAGGTTGAGAACTAGGGGTGCCTCTAGAACTGTCCTGACCCCGACTGGAAATCACAGCTCAAGATATGGGGGAGGAAATGTCCCACACCGGCCTGGACCTAGGTCGCCTAGAGCGGCTTCAGGGTCCAATTATCACACCCACTCTACTCCACTGTTCCTTCCCTTCCCCAGGGATAACACCCCCTTCTCCCGGTCCCTTTCTCTTATTGAAGACTCTTTCTCTTTGCAGCCTGGCCCCCACCCTTTATTGCCCCATATTCCAGCCGCTCAAAGGGTAGCATTTCCAGAAGCCTCGGCCGTCCAGCCTCCGAGCTCTCACCCGGCGTGTCTCCTCCCCCATTAGGGCCGCCGGGGCTGCAGACAGAAGCAGGCTCAGGAGCAGCACGGGGCCGGGGGCACAGCGCCCCCAACCCCAGTGAAGCTCCCCACAGCTGCACATGCGGGTCCGCTTCCGAAAACCGACCGGAAAGTCAAGTGACTCAAACTCAGCTGATCTCTTTAAAGGGCGGAGCCACCACACGGGTTCTTAAAGAAAACACTTCCCTTAACCCAGATCCTAGCTGGAACTGGAATACTGTCCTGTCCGTATGCTTGGGAGTTCATCCCTAGCAAGGCTGGCAGGCATGACCTCGTATGTAAAAAATGTGGATATATTTCTATCTGCCACCCAGACAATCCCACTGAATAATTTACTATAGTGGGCATGATGTTTGGATTCAAGATCTAAATAGGATCCTAATAAGATTCCATGGGAGAAGGTATATCTCTTTTTGTCAATATAGTATTTCTTGAGTTCACAGATATGCAGGCTTTTGTCTTGGAAAGTTAGCAATTATATTGTGGAGAAAAGATATTTCAGAAAACAGGATATGAGAGAACACATGTAATTGTCAAATGAGGAAAAAAATTTATGACTGGTTGAAAGAATGCACACTTTTAGTTGCTCCTTCCCCCCCCCCCCCACACACACACTTTTGCCCGGCTTTCAGTAAAAACAATTGACTAATAATAAATATAGGCCTTATAAAATTAAATATGTACCATAGAGTATCATTCTTATGCAACCTAGTCTTCTTCCAATGACAAAATGAATAATTTCTTTATATATGTATCCTTCCAAAAGTATACCGTGCATACTTTAAAGTATGTATATAAACAATGTAACTATATAAAATATGTCACAATGGCACTACACCCAAACACTGTTCTGTTCTGCAGCTTGTTTTTCACTTTTTTCATACCAATACACTTAGAATTCTGGTATTCCTATTTAATTGCAGGGGAATGCTCTATGGATGTATCTAACCAAAACTTTGTTGATTATTTCTACTCTTAGTACATATAGCAAACAATAACAGAGGAAATATCCCAGTACAGATAGCATTTCACATATTTGTAACCAAACCAATAAATTATGGGAGGCAATAGCTGTGTCAAAGGGACTATTAGAGGTTAACTGAAATTCTCACACCTAGCTTTTTGCATGCCCATTTCTTCATGTCCCAAGTATTTACTGAATTTACAGTTTTCTATAAATAAAGAGGAGTGCTCTGATGCCAGTGGCATAGTCCTTTGAGTTGTATTGCTGACGTAAGGCCATGCCTCCCTACAGTTTGAATTCATGAGCCTGGGCAATATACTTCAGTGACAGATCCCTCAGAAACGTGGTGGATGGTCAGCTATGAGTTGGTTCCAACTTGATGGCACTGAATGTATGCTATGTAAACTACGTAAAGGATCCCTGGTGGTGAAGTGTGTGACATCCTGGGATGTTTAATACTTAGTTTGAATCTACCATCGTCTCCACAGGAAAACTGTGGATTGCCACTCTCATTAAAAGTGTACAGATTTGGAAAGCTGATAGAGGGTCACCATGAATCAGACTGAAGTCCATGGCTCTTAGTTTTTCCTCTATAAATAAGATTAAGTAACAAAATTGAAAGTTTCTGCCTTCAGGAAGCTTTCCTGCATTGACCCTCCGCCCTTCCAAGTATGATGTCCTTCTCCAAGGACTGGTCCCCCCTGGCAACACGTCACAGTATGTGAGATGGAGCTTCAAAATCCTTGCCTCCAAGGAGCAACCTGGTTTCACGCTCTCCAGGCCAGATCTGTTTGTTCTTTTTACAATCCATGTTATGTTCAATACTCTTTTTCAGCACCACAACTTAAAGGCATTGACTCTTCTTCTATCATCCTTAGTCATTGTATAGTTTTCTGATGCATAATAAGTAATTGCAAAGACTGTGACCTGGATCAGGTGCACTTTAGTCTCTAAACTGAAATCGTTGCTCTTCAGCATTCTGGAGAGGTCCCTGGCAGCAGACTTTCTTAATGTAATTTGGTTTTGATTTCCTGACTGCTGGTGCCTAGAGTGCTGATTATGGATCCAAACAAGATGAAATTAACAGTCTCAATCTCTTCTCCATCATGATACCACCAACTGGTCCAGTGGTGAGAATCCTTGTTTTCTTGTTGAGATGCAATCAATATTGAAGACTGCAGTCCTTGACCTTTTGCAGTGAACACTTCAGGTCCTCAGTTTCAGCAAGGAAGATTGTGTCATCTGCATAATGCAGGATATTGAAGAATTTTTCTCCAATCCTGATGCCACATTCCTCCTCACAAAGTCCAGCCTCCTAAATGATATGTTCCACATATAGATTGTAAAGGTATGGAGAAATGACACATCCCTGAAACACTCCTTTCTTGATTTTGAACCTGCAGTTTCTCCTTCCTCTGTTCTGATGACTGCTTCTTGGTCTAAGTATAGGTTTCATTCGAGTACAATCAAGTTCTGGGATTTCCATTCTTCTCAATGTTAGCCACAATTTGCTGTGTTTTACACAAATGCCTTTGTATAATCAATCAAACACAAATGGATATTTTTATGGTACTCTCTGCTTTCAGCCAAGAAACATCTGACATCAATGATTATGATCATAGTGCTATGGCCTCTTCTAAACCCATCTTGCACTTCTGGCAGTTCTCTGTCAATGTATACTGTTCCAGTCATTTTTAAATAATCTTCAGCATGATTTTGTTTGCATGTGATATTGTTTGAGAATTTCTACTGTTTGATCACCCTTTTTTTTGGAATGAGAATACTGTTCTCTTTCAGTCATTTAGCTAGGTAGTTGTCCTCCAGATTTCTTGGTACATGGTGAGCAAATCCAAGGCTGCATCTATTTGTTAAAATATGTCAATTGGTATTCAATCAATTCTTGGAAACTTTTTTGCCAATTCATTTGGAGAAGCTTGAACTTCCTCCTTCATCACCATTGGTTCTTGATCACATACCGTTTCATTATTGTGTCAGCCAATTCTTTTTGGCACAGTAACTGTGTACTCCATCTTCTTTAGATGTTTCTGGGGCATTCAGTATTCTGCCCGTAACATCTTTATGTATGCCAATTCGAGGCTTGAATTTATTCTTCTTTGGCTTGAGAAATGTGAGATCATCCCTTTTGATTTTTGGACTCTGTATCTTTGCACATTTTAACACTGTCTTCCCAAGCTCCTCCTTAACTTGCCGATTTTTCCCCATTGCTTTGGCTTTTTGGCATTCTAGTGCAATATTCAGTCTCTTGCCCTCCATTTCAAGTCTTTTCTACCTCCTTTGCTTTATAATGACCTTTTCCATTTTTCATGGATGATATTGATATCCTCCCACAGCTCACCTGGTCTTCATTCATGTTCAAGGCCTCAAAACTGTTCTTGGGATGGTTTTTAAAATCAGGTGGGATAGACTCAAATTTTTGCTTCCATTTTCTTTAGTTTCAGTTTGTGTTTGGCTATTAGTCATTTTACTCTCCTCTTCCTCCCTTCCCATCCCCATTACATTTTTCCAAATTGCTGTATATAAACCCTCCCTAAGTTGTCTCCTACCATAACTTGTTCTTGTGTGTGACTGGTGCAAAGTCACTCAATGTGATTCTCTCTAGATTAATTCATCTTGTATAGTGCTTAACAAATTCATAAATCTTAATGTGATTTTAAAGTTTACAGAAAAGTTCTATTTTCATTCACTCATTGTTGCACGTTATCCTTTCCCTCCTTTTCATTTTTTTTTTAAATATTCGTTCATTGTTGTACAATTACCTCCTTCCCTAGTCCTGTTTTTTTATTTTAAGGAAAGTTTAGAGACTTAGGGTTTCCATTCATTCATTGTTGTACTTTTCTCCCTACCCACCGTCTCTCCCTCCCCCCCCCCCCCCAGTACTCTTTGTAATGTATCTCTTATTCTGGCTACTGTAAACTCCTAATAACTTTTTAGTGAATGTATGTCTTTTTAGCCATTTATGGGAACTTGGATTGCTTCCAGCTCTTTTGACATAATGATGCTGCAAATAAACATGGGTGTCTATGTTAGTGTTACAGACCTTGTTTCTTTGGGATGTATTCTAGCAGTAGAACTGTTAGAAGCTCTGGTGTCATAGTACATAGGGAGTTCCATGTTTTCACCCAAAGGTGACCTCTTTTGACAGTTTGAAGCTCCATAAAAGGAGAAAGGATGGAAATTTCACAACAAAAAATCAAAGGCCCCATTGCTTGGAGACAATTTGAGCTCCATCTCCACACTGGTGAACCTGTTGGCCTGAATTGCTCCATTTCAAGGGGGCCTGGAAGCCCCATACTATTTACTGCCTCTGATAATCAAGTGTCAGCTGTTATGTCATAGGTTTTAATTTGACGGCAAAGAGAACTGTGCACATGGAGTTATCTTTACTCCCCTCAAAACTTTTTCAGTTGCCTTGAGCAAAATTTTGTTGTAAAAAGCCAACTAGGGAAATGGCTACATAGGAACTCTCAAAAGTTCCCTCATTTTCTTTGAGCAGCACTTGTTTGTTATCTTCAGAGTTTTTAGAGACATAAGGTCTTGCCTGTGGGTTTCAGCAGTAATTCAAGATTCCCTCACCATCTTAAAAATTTTACTTTATGGGGGGAAAATAGGATTTGTGCATCTAGGAGTAGTGAGACTATCAACAAAGCCAAGGCTGCAAAGTTGTGTTCATGTCTAGTGTATAGGACTCACTGAAGACAAAAGAAAAAATGACTTGCACAACCTTGAACATTGTGTCAAGTGTAGGCTTTGGGAACACATGGTTTTTTAAAAGTAGACTGACTTAATCTGGCAGTAAGCATCCCCTAAATTTAGAAGTAGAGGTATTAGACACCTTTTCTTAGTTACCCATATTATCCCTTTTCTTTTTCTTAAAGATTTTATTGTGGTTTGGGCAAATGTTCCTTAATCAACAACTTCTATACATTAGCTGCAATCTTCCTCAGTGTAATCGCACTCTTTTCCACTTCTATTCTGGATTAGTTTCTCCATCGTTATTGCTTTCTTTAGTGTTTCTGGACACATTCTGTCATTTCATAGTTCATTGTGTTGTGTAGCATGTTTCCCATAGATAATATGGTTCACAATGTAGGACCTTT